TATTTCAAATTACAGTGTGAATTAACTTTTCGGACTTTGTGTACATTATTGTCAAAACTTTTCTTACATTCCGGAAAATGTGATCAATTATATAAATTCCGCACAACCTTAATCCCACCCGAGGCATATCATGAATCACTTATTTTCATTTCTGCCTGGTTCTTATAAATAGCTGTACTTAAATACAATTGTAAGAGTTTTCTCAGTTTATAATGACTTACAAAGACAGTGTTTTACCCGTTTTGTCAGCAGGGGCCAGTACGTACTGATCGTGAAATCTTTCTTATTCTTTTTTGTCACTTCTGAATTATCAAAGATAGAATTGCGGTAGAGAGATATAGCCTTAAATTACTTATTGCGCGATTTAAACATCTGATTACATTTATTCCATTCCATTCCATATGATAAAAAAAGTGTTTCATGTATGGCCCATTGTCTGGCGTACACTTCTAGAGTACCGTACATGCTCGCCTATATAGTCGGTTGTATTTTTTGACGTTATTTTGGTGGGATTTGCTATTGACCCGTTTATAAGTCGGTACATTTTTGTCAAAATCGGATGCCAATTTCAAGTAAATCAATTGATGTTTAGACCTGGTTTCAATTAATATTTTTCGACATGACACTAATATTTAATCTTAAATTATTTCTAAAAAGGCAATGCTCACTACAAATACAAATAAAATATTTAAAATATGTAAATTCTTGTACTTTATATGTATAATCTAAGAATACATAAATTATCATATATTATACCCAGACATTTTCTTCGATAATTGTCGGAAATGCAAATAAAATAATAAATTTCAGACTCCAGAAAAACATCTCTTCATCACTCGGCTAGAAGTTGGACATAGAGTTTTAGACAAATATTTAATTCCCAAAATACCGACATATAGGCGAGTATATACGGTATTTATGCCATATACAACATAACGCAGAGGACCTTAACAAAACAGGTAAAAACATTGACTCTTTTGAGTTTTATTATGTAAATTGTATCTAAGAGGAACATGGATTTGATTCTAGACTGACCTTGAAATAAAAGATTTCACAAACTCTGACATATATATTTACATATTTGGATATTTTATTAGAAAAAGAGGATGATGATAATCTTGCAACGAAGGTTTCTGATAAACTTGAGAACTTTTACTTTTAAAATCGTAGACTTCAGTTACTAATGGAACAATATACCTTCTTCATCTGCGAACAGAGTTTATACCTTGCGGTTGATTTGATACGCAAGAATATGCTGTACCTATGAAAAACTTCTAAAACGAGGTAAGTTATTCACATCGCAGGTATGTTAAGATTACAACCAAATATTCTACTTGCCTACATGATTCCACGTCTATAGTAAGCTATAGACATGAAATTAAGAGATAATCATTTCTTAAAATCGACATCTAAGATTCATATGAGGTCTTAAAAATGAATCAAAATATCCAGAGGCATAATATGAACGGAATCGGAGTTTCAAAGCATTTAGAATGAATATCATGTGTGATTTATGTGGGAATAAAGCTTATGAATTAGGTATTTTAATATAATTCTACAACTTCTTCTTAAAATAAAAACCAGACGGGGTCTTTACTTGCCGATCAGTCTTTCCTCTGTCGTTCGTAACAAAAAAGATGCAAAAGTTAAACATTACGTAGCATACTTTGAAAACTTATTTTTGTTTCTATCTAAAGTTCTTAATCTATAGTTTTTTGTTTGTTTTTTTGTTTTTGGCAAGTGATGCTAGAATCGTTAGATTTATGGGAATTGGTGCATTTTTTTCGATCAAATGAACAAATGTAAAAATTGTGGAAAGGTTTCGTCCAAAAGTGTTGAATAATTATTTCTGTGATAGGACAGTAAGATTGTAGCAGCACTTTTTATGGTACTGAGATATATTTACATTATTATTACTGCAGAAGTACTTTTTCCCCCGGTATTAATTTACGCTATGTACGCGCCCACATATTTTCCGTGGAAATTTATCTAAGCGTGCTTAATGTAAAAGAAAGGCAAATAGTGACAGTCTAAGAAATTCGCGTAATTTTCTACCCGCGGATAAAACAGAAGTTGAGACTCTGCGGAATTATGACCCCGCGGAAAAAAAAGTACGTCTACAGTATTACAAATTGAAATTAATTATCCTCGGGGTAGTGTTAAACTTTTCACTTTTTCATTAAGGCATATTTTCTGATTATAGACGTAACGTGGTGAAGTCGCGTTGAAGTGCTTCATGTAGTAGAAGTCTCATTTAGGTCTATAGAATGCATAATGATAGCAACAGTTCTATCCACAATTTTTCCAATTGATCAATGTTACATATAATGAAAAAAGTTTTAATTCGCCGAATTCTGGCCCGAGTGCTGCCTAAACAAACCCGTGAAACAAGAAAATGAAACAAGAATATCTGCAGTCTTGTTTAAAGTTATCATTTTGTATGTAATTTGGTTCATAGAATGACCTTGTCAGCATATTCAATGTATCACTAAGTCAAATGCTGACTGACGTTTTTCGTACTTATATTTCCGTTATATTTCTATCATAAAAAAAAAATTCCCCTGGGGATTCGGGTTAGAATAGGTCCTCAGTACCCCTTGCTTGTCGTAAAAGGTGACTAAATTGGGCGGTCCTTCGGATGAGACCGTATAAACCGAGGCCCCGTGTCACAGCAGGTGTGGCACGATAAAGATCCCTCCCTGCTCAATGGCCCTGAGTGCCGAGCATAGGCTTTAATTTGCAGCCCTTCACCGGCAATGGTGATGTCTCCATATCAGTGAAATATTCTGGAGAGGGACGTTAAACAGTATACAATCAATCAATCAATCTATCATAAAAAGGATCACATTGTGGGTTTTTCTGGTCTTCCTGGGATGCTCATTCATCCATGGCACGTAATCCGAACTTGTGCTCCTATGTTGTATTATTTTATGGACTTTTGATCTTGAATAATGTTCATTATATCCATTTCTTTTTTAATCACCGAACATGTATTTCTAACAGGTCCGTGTTTACTCCTCTCCAGGATTACATTGTAATCAATTCTGTTGAGCGGTAGTATTGTTATCTCCTTATATTACATGTCAATTCTGTTGAGCTGTAGTATTGTTATCTCCTTATATTACATGTCAATTCTGTTGAGCTGTAGTATTGTTATCTCCTTATATTACATGTCAATTCTGTTGAGCTGTAGTACTGTTCGTTATTTCTTTATACTACATGTCAATTCTGTTGAGCTGTAGTATTGTTCATTATCTCCTGATATTACATGTCAATTCTGTTGAGCTGTAGTATTGTTATCTCCTTATATTACATGTCAATTCTGTTGAGCTGTAGTATTGTTATCTCCTTATATTACATGTCAATTCTGTTGAGCTGTAGTATTGTTATCTCCTTATATTACATGTCAATTCTGTTGAGCTGTAGTTTTACAGGTCGATGTTTGCTGTGTTTTTATTTTTGTATTGTTTTACAGGTCGATGTTTGCTCTGTTTTTATTTTGTATTGTTTTACACGTCGATATTAGGATATTTGCTCTGTTTTTATTTTGTATTGTTTTACAGGTCGATGTTTGCTCTGTTTTTATTTTGTATTGTTTTACAGGTCGATGTTTGCTCTGTTTTTATTTTGTATTGTTTTACAGGTCGATGTTTTCTCTGTTTTTATTTTGTATTGTTTTACAGGTCGATGTTTGCTCTGTTTTTATTTTGTATTGTTTTACAGGTCGATGTTTGCTCTGTTTTTATTTTGTATTGTTTTACAGGTCGATGTTTGCTCTGTTTTTATTTTGTATTGTTTTACAGGTCGATGTTTGCTCTGTTTTTATTTTGTATTGTTTTACAGGTCGATGTTTGCTCTGTTTTTATTTTGTATTGTTTAAAAGGTCGATTTTTGCTCTGTTTTTATTTTGTATTGTTTTACAGGTCGATGTTTGCTCTGTTTTTATTTTGTATTGTTTTACAGGTCGATGTTTGCTCTGTTTTTTTTTTGTATTGTTTTACAGGTCGATGTTTGCTCTGTTTTTATTTTGTATTGTTTTACAGGTCGATGTTTGCTCTGTTTTTATTTTGTATTGTTTTACAGGTCGATGTTTGCTCTGTTTTTATTTTGTATTGTTTTACAGGTCGATGTTTGCTCTGTTTTTATTTTGTATTGTTTTACAAGTCGATGTTTGCTCTGTTTTTATTTTGTATTGTTTCATGAACTTTTGAGCCTTCGTACTGTTCGCTATTTCATTATATGACATGATCGCTTTAATAGTCATTTATATCCTCAGCTGGTCAGAACATAACATCCTTTACCACTGTCCCAAATTAAACAAATTCTAGGGGTACTCCCTTTTGTTTATTATATAATAAAATAAAATTGAATTCAAAATGAAAACATGAACATTTACAGCAGCAACATAAACTGTCTTTTGTTAAATTTTGCAACAATATTTACGCCCCTGCGCTCTTGAAAGTCCTTCTTAAATTGAAATCGGTCAACCACAATACATTTTCAAGTACAATAAAAAATATTGCTTCATTTTGTTAGAGTCATAGATATAGGCATAAAACCATAAACGTCATTCTGGGTTTTCTGAACTTATATAAAACATTAATGACAATTTTTTAATTCCATATGTTAAAATAGAAATGTTTTATATTTGTTTTGACATATAAAGTACAAGACAACAATTGATATTATAAGATGTTGATATACACCGAGATCATTACTTGTACTCCCTATAATTTGAACAATGGACTCGTGATTCACAACATGATATCAGGTTTAGTACATGTAGATGGTAGATTGATCTTACATTTTATATTTAAAGCCATTTATATGAGGATATGTCAAAGCAAATACATATCTATAACATATTAAAAGAAAGTAATTCAAAGGAAAATTGAAATTCACAGGAGCATTATTAAAAATTTTTAGTGTATACATATAACACATTTTCCAACAAAATAAATATACTTCACATTATTCAATTGTACGCATATAACAAGTTTTCAGACTAAATTCATGTAAATGTATATCAAGTTAATCTATACATTTTTAATTTCACAAGATAAAATTTAACAATATTGTTTCATTTGATTTTCCTATTAGAAACGCAATGATTACATTCAAAAATCTGGCATTTGCTTATTTAAAATACAAGAAAGTAAAAAAATAATGATATTTTTGGACGAGTATTGTGGCAAACAAGTTTCAACTTATTAATAAATTGCCAATGAAAATCAATAACTGTGATCTCATGTCCATTTAGTTATCATCAATAATGTCTTTATTCTTGTTACACAAATTAATATCGGCATCATTTTTCAGTAGTAGTTGTACCGTGCTATCATGTCCATTTTGACAAGCTATATAAAGAGGACTGGCTCCATTCTTCTCACATAAACTGATGTCGGCATCATTGTTCAGTAGTAGTTGTACCGTGCTATCATGTCCATTTTGACGAGCTACATAAAATGGACTGGCTCCATTCTTGTTACATATATTGATGTCAGCACCGTTGTTCAGTAACAGTTGTACCGTGCTATCATGTCCATTTTGACAAGCTATATAAAGAGGACTGGCTCCATTCTTTTCACATAAATTGATGTCGGCACCGTTGTTTAGTAACAGTTGTACCGTGCTATCATGTCCACTTTGACAAGCTATATAAAGAGGACTGGCCCCATTCTTCTCACATAAATTGATGTCGGCACCGTTGCTCAGTAACAGCTGTACCGTGCTATTATGTCCATTTTGACAAGCTATATAAAGAGGACTGGCTCCATTCTTTTTACATAAATTGATGTCGGCACCGTTGTTTAGTAACAGTTGTACCGTGCTGTCATGTCCATTTTGACAAGCTATCCAAAGAGGACTGTCTCCATCATTATCACATAAATTGATGTCAGCACCATTGTTCAGTAACAGTTGTACCGTGCTATCATGTCCATTTTGACAAGCTATCCAAAGAGGACTGTCTCCATCATTATCACATAAATTGATGTCAGCACCATTGTTCAGTAACAGTTGTACCGTGCTATCATGACCATTTTGACAAGCTATCCAAAGAGGACTGTCTCCATCATTATCACATAAATTGATGTCGGCACCGTTGTTCTGTAACAGTTGTACCGTGCTATCATGTCCATTTTGACAAGCTATCCAAAGAGGACTGTCTCCATCATTATCACATAAATTGATGTCAGCACCATTGTTTAGTAACAGTTGTATCGTGCTATCATGACCATTTTGACAAGCTAAATAAAGAGGACTGACTCCATTCTTTTGACATAAATTGATGTCGGCACCGTTGTTCAGTAACAGTTGTACCGTGCTATCATGTCCATTTTGACATGCTTTATAAAGAGGACTGGCTCTATTATTATTACATAAATTGATGTCGGCATCATTGTTCAGTAACAGTTGTACCGTGCTATCATAACCATTTTGACAAGCTATAAAAAGAGGACTTGATCCATTCTTATTACGTAAATTGATGTCGGCACCGTTCTTCACTAACAGATGTACCGTGCTATCATATCCTTTATAAGAGGCTATATGAAGAGGACTGACTCCATTCTTTTGACATAAATTGATGTCGGCACCGTTGTTCAGTAACAGTTGTACCGTGCTGTTATGTCCATTTTGACAAGCTAAATAAAGAGGACTGACTCCATCCTTATTGCATAAATTGATGTCAGCACCGTTGTTCAGTAACAGTTGTACCGTGCTATCATGTCCATTTTGACAAGCTATATAAAGAGGACTGACTCCATTCTTTTTACATAAATTGATGTCAGCACCGTTGTTCAGTAAGAGTTCTACCGTGCTATCAAGTCCATTTTGACAAGCTATAAAAAGAGGGCTAAATCCATCAATATCACACAAATTGATGTCGGCACCGTTGTTCAGTAACAGTTGTACCGTGCTATCATGTCCATTTTGACAAGCTACAGATAGAGGACTGTCTCCATCATTATCACATAAATTGGAGTCGGCATCGTTGTTCAGTAATAGTTTTGCCGTGCTATCATGTCCTTCTTCACAAGCTATATAAAGAGGGCTTTCTCCACCATTAGAACATAAATTAATGTCGGCATCATTGTCCAGTAACAGTTGTACCGTGCTTTCATGTCCTTTGTAACATGCTGCCAAAAGAGGACTGATTCCTTCATTATCAGATAAATTAATAGCAGCCCCGTATTTAATTAAGCAATTGATGGTTGCATTACGTCGTTCCCCAGTCTTTATATCCTTTCTTCCAGCCTCTTTTAAATGTTCTTCATCATTTGCAGCGGCTAATGCTAACGGAGGAACACAGTTATCATTTGTTGCTAATGTGTTTACGTCAGCACCGAGTTTGACTAATTCTTCAACTATTAAAAAATTATGAAATACAGAAGCAACATGAATTGGTGAAAAGTCATACCATATATCCAACATTGCTGATGTTTTATATTCCTCACTGAGGGAGTTTAATAGGTTTAAATCGCCATTAGCACACATAACAGAGAATGCAGGATATTCCTTTAACTTTGTTTCAGGGATACTTTTTATAAAAAATGAAGAAATGTCAGAATGACAAAATACAATAAGTCCGACCAAAGGACACATTTCATCTTCTGCAGTAAAGAAAGTAAGTCTAGAAAAACGATCGCTTTCAAATAATTTTGGAAATTCTGAAATGTCTATTTCACATTTAATTTTAACGAGAAGCTTTTCAATCGTATCCACTTTATCCTTAAAAGCTTTAATGACACTATCCTTTCTTAAACATGGATTGAGTAGAACATTTACAAGGTGTTTTGATTGCATGTCAATGATAAACCTGTCCACAAGATCATCAATGTATTCTTCAGGAAGGTAAACAGTGAAGGGATCGCGATCTTCCTCTTCTGTATCGTCGTCTATCTTTACTCGACGTCTCAGAAAACCACTGTCTGCGTACTGTATTGTCTCTTGTGGACAATCAACACCAAACACCAGAGTCGTTATCTCCATAATAAAGTCGTGAAGGAATTGGAAAGCATTTCCGACACGTTTGACATAAGATCCTTTCAATTCGTGTAGAGTACTACGAATGACTGAAATGTGTGTGTTTTCCTGTATCTCACACATTCCTAAAATGTCCTTAAATTTCATTAAAGAAATTTCATTTTTTACAATATCATCAATTTTTAAATTGTTTTTGAAAGCTACTATCAAGATGAGTGAGCAAAATCTCTTCTTGTCTGTTTTTTTCCAAATTTCAATTTCCTTTCTAATACATTTGTACGGATTTCTAAAGAAATCAACTTCTTTTTCTTTGTAGTTTGTCTCCTTTGAAAAAAGTTTACAAAGCAATGGGAAGTAAGCTTCCGTTTTGATTATTTCAGTAACAACCTTTTCAGGTAAATGCACATTCTCTGAATACTGATTAAAAATCGTTCTTTTCTCTTCAACCGTCAGTCCATTTTTGTCGTTGTCAATTTCTACTGCAGTGGATGCATCCAGTAAATTACCTTTGATTTTCTTGTCATAGAATATACATCTTCTACATGATATCAGTAGTTTATTTTTTGTCAAACAAATCTCCAGCGTTTTCTCTAAACTTTTCCATAAATGATATAACATTTCATCTAACGACTCCTTACCTAAAGGATCATTGAATACAAATAATATCCTATTTTCTGATACTCTGGTTGAACAAATGCTTTTAATTTCTTCAACCTTATCCACCGGTATGACATTCCACCCCTGCGTATTATACTTGAGTGCAATATGCTGAATTATTGCAGATTTCCCGGACCCAGAATTTCCAACCACTGTGATAAGGTTATGACTTTTAAGCTTTTCTTCAACCACTTCACTTGCTCTTGTAGGAATGAAGGCAATGTCATCTTCTCGCCAGTTGTCGAGAATTTCTTTTACCAATGTGTTTTCTGTAAAAGATAAGCCGTCTTAAAAAAGTTTAAAAAGCTGAAAATTGGAAATTGTAAAATTATATTCATATTTTTTTCGTAAAACTTTATAATTTTCAAAAAAAGAAGATCGCTTACTTCCTTTCGATTTAGTCTTTTATCGTTTTAATGTTAATTGTAAATGCAGTATATATTTACTACAAAAAAGTATTGCTATTGAAATTTAGGGAAGTAGAAGTAGAAACGAATGTATGTACTGACTGTTAATTAATTTATGCATATACTGAAGCATAAATAAATATATATAAATGGAAATAGTTTTTATGTCATAATATAGAGAAAAAAATGAGTATGGGGTAAAACTCAAACACGTACAAAATAATAAAAAATTTCATTGCAAGAGTTCAAAGCTTTTTTTGGACATCTTCCGAAAATAGAAGTATAGACACAAATAAAAATACATGAATGGTAAGACACAGTTATGATACGGCTGTCAGAAGGCTTAAAATGTCTAAAAAATATACATTTTATTTTGCGCTTGATTTTCAATTTCAATATGTGATCCTTGTTTGAAATTGCAGTCAACTTGAGATAACAGTTTTATCAGGTATTATAATAAAGCATTTCTGTGATGTCAGATGACTGTGTTGATCACGTGACGGACATTTTTTATATTCTTAATGTTGCACAAAAATCACCTTGGCACAAGTGCAAAACGAAAATATTGTCCCCTTAATAAATCTACATGCCGTGTAATATTTATGACACTTTCCCCGTCATGTAAGCTCAAGTATGCAGTGACTTGACGTCATATTATATTATGACGTCATATCTAGGTAGTTCAGAGAAGTTACTACAGTTTGAACAGTTTGATATTTTACGGGCAGCCTTATCTTAGCTGCGGAATTCTTATGTCGTAATATAGAGAACAAAATGAGTATGGGGTACATACAAAATAATATGAAATTTCATAGCAAAAGTTCAAATGTTTTTTTTTTTTTAAATATCTTGCGAAAATTGAAGTGTCAGGGTTAGGATTAGCGCAGCTAATCGGACGTAAGTACTATCATATTGTAAATAAATTTTGAATATCTATAAATTGATATTGTACTTGTAAAAGCAAGATTAAGTTAAGTGGAAGACCTAAACGGATGAAGTCTGGCTCTATATCTATTGGTACATGTACACTAGGTCTTTCAACAGGGAACTGAAAAAGTCCGGGGAAAGTCTGCCTCTACAACTATGTCATGACTTCTTAGGAGAAGTTTGAATAAGGGGATGTCTCACTTGTCAACGCTGGTTGTAACGTTCAATTTTGACTCGGGTTGAAAATTGACCCGGGGGTCATTTTTCAACGTTGAATATTGAGACAAAAGGTGTTGAATTTAGACCCTAGTCTGAAAACTGAGCCGGGTCGTGGAATTTTGATCATGAAACCGGTTCAAAATTTAGCAGCATAAAAACACATATTTATGACTTGGTTTTAACAACTGTGATTAAATTCATTAGGGTCGGGAACGGGGGTGGCTAGGGATGCTTAACCCCCCCTCTTTTTTTGCAAAGATAGACATTATATAGGCATTGAATAATGTGAAATTGATTTAGCCCTCCCCCGCCCTCCCCCACGTTCAACAGGCACGTTACAGTGTAGTCAAAAAAGAAGAGTAAGTGGTAGTGGTAGATCCTCACCCCCAACCCTACCCCCCGATAGGATTTTCGGGTTTGGACTACTAATTAAGACAACAGAAAATTGTTCTTTTCTTGTCATTTTTTTTTAATTTTTATTTTTTTCTTTTTCAATTAGCCCAACCCCCTCCTCCCCAACCCACCCCACCTGCACTTTCAATTTGCTTCCGATACCAATGTAATAAATGCACACATAGTTCAGTAATTCAGTTATATTCTTAGCATAAAATATTTTTAAAATATCTTAGATTTCAAAGTTACATGTATAGCTTAAAATCGCAATATTTCGTGTAATATTTGTTAAAAAGAGGTACATTTGTATATGTAAATCCTGAATATTAGTACACATAGTTACACAATGTACAATTTAGCTCAGAAATTTGTTGATATATATATATTTTTTTTTTGCTATCAACACTTCATTTATTTTAATTTTAAGTTGGTATTGCATGTATTAGTGTCTGGAAATTGTGAGACTTTATACGTTTAATGCTTATTTAGTTATGCACAACAACTTATAATGTATAACTTGAAAAACGGATTTTTTCAAAATAAAAGGTTTAGTGATTTTTTTGCATAGTTAATCAAACGGTCCAGGACATTTTTATTTTGGTAAGTAGAGGATGCAAAAGGGGGGTGATCTCCCCTTTTTGGGATTAGTACCACGTATATTTGAAGAATGGGTTTTTTTGTATTTGTGACTGGGCTGTTTTCTTCATTTTTGTATAGGGATGGCAATCGAATGCAGATTTGCTAATCGGTTAACCGCAAGACGTTCCGACCGATTAACCGGTTAATCGTATCAAAATACATACATTTTAGTTTTTTTTTTTTAAAGTACATGTAGTTATATTTTGTATGTACACAGAAAGACTGTTAAAGATAAATGACGTTAAAAACATTCCATTTGTCTTTATTCTGTATCAGAAAATACATTTTGTTATTTTAATATTATTTTAAGAATAATTTAGAAGAAAAAAAACAATTAAAGAAATCCTCAAGCTAATTTTCAAAGCAGGGAATATTTTATAATAATCAATAAAACTGAACTGTAGCTCTTTATTTACATTGTATTATAATTTAATAATCAATCTAATAGTTAGATGAAGAACTAAATACGGCAATTCCCATTTCACAGTACACGTGTTCTCATTTATGTAATAATTATAATCATTAAAGAAAAACACGACGGACTGCGTCACGGCATGATGTTGCACAATAATTATCGCTATGTAAACTGACCAATTACCCTCATGGCCACAATTAAATTAAATCAGGGAAGCCATAATTATCTCCGAATCAGTTTTAATAGTTTTGTTAAACGCTAAATTTCCAATCCTATGTGCTGTAATTTCTTTTTATTTTAATGAATTTTAATAAAATCAAGTTCAGTTTTATTTTTTTCCGATTAACCGATTGCCATCGTTCCGACCGAGTAATCTGTTAATCGGTTACAAATTGCCATCCCTATTTTTGTAGTTTTTTTTTTTAAATCAAACAATGTCTGCCTTAGACACACAACCCTGACTTTCCATGTTATTTAAATTTTTAATTAAGTAGCCAAAATATAACATTGACCCCCCCCCCCCCTACACACACACAAATCGGGAAAACACAGGATCATAGTTTGTGAGGAATTTCTGAAGCACCCCTTCCATCAAATAAGAGAAACATGGTTTGGTTTTCAACATTGGCTTATTTTCCTTTCCACTTTTTGTTTGCTTGTTTGTTTCGTTTCGTTTATTTATTTTGTTTATGGTTTTTTGTCACAATTTTTCAGAGGGTTTTGACATCATACCCCCGCCTCCGAGAAAAACTTTAGATCTCTCTCTCTCTCTCTCTCTCTCTCTCTCTCTGTCTCTCTGTCTCTCTCTCTCTCTCTCTCTCTCTCTCTCTCTCTCTCTCTTTGAAGAGGAATGCGCTTTTTAGTTGTTTAGATCAAGGACGACGTTTAAATCAAAGATGGTTGGAAGTGTAGCTTCTAGTCCATCCCAGACTATAATTCTCGTTCTCATTCTCAAAGTTATGCTCCGAAAACGATCGATTTTTTAGGCCAAGGCAGGCTACTGACAGATAAGTCTGTTACAGGGATTTCACAAATCTTGTTTAAAGCCAGCATTACTTACATGTTATGGTCGCTATATTGATCTTTTCACAAATATAACCTATCATTGGCTTGATTTTGACTAATGGTTTTCATTCTAATTTTTAGGTTTTAAATTTTCCTAATTCTTATACTGAATTTGACTAGATGGGATGTTCTGCCCACCTGATCAATATAATATTATATAGGGCTCACTTTCTATACACCAGATTTCCAGGATTTTTTTTATGCCCTATTTATAGTTTTGTAGTTATTTATGGATGTGGATTTTAAAAAGTATTGTCAAAACATTAATGTTGCCATGCTTAATTGATTGATGGATTGTATACTGTTAAACGTATGCATAGTTTTGTAGTTATTTATGGATGTGGATTTTAAAAAGTATTGTCAAAAAATAAAGTTGCCATGCTTAATTGATTGATGGATTGTATACTGTTAAACGTATGCATAGTTTTGTAGTTATTTATGGATGTGGATTTTAAAAAGTATTGTCAAAAAATAAAGTTGTCATGCTTGATTGATTGATTGTATATTGTTAAACGTCCCTCTACAGAATATTTCACTGAAATGGAGACGTCACCAATGCCGGTGATATGCTGCAAATTTAGGCCTATGCTCGGCACTTACGGCCATTGAGCAGGGAAGGATCTTTATCGTGCCACACCTGCTGTGACACGGGGCCTCGGTTTATGTGGTCTCATCCGAAGGAGCGCCCCATTTAGTCGCCTTTTACGACAAGCAAGGGGGTACTGAGGACCTATTCTAACCCGGATCCCCACGGGGCTGTAATGCTTGAAGAAAACTAAAAATCGTGTACTGATCAAAATGTACATATATACACGGGATGATAGGTTTATTTCTATTATTCTTGAAAAGGGAAAAAAAGTTGAAACCGAAATATAAATAGATACTGATAAATCCCGTAAAACAACTTCCCAGTTCAAAAATTTGTTCAAACTCTGAGGTGGGGTCAATTTCCAACAGGGTCAATTTTCAACTTGTTGAGGTCATCGGTGATAAGAAAAAAGAATATCAAGCTGTTGAAAAATGACCCCGGGTATAAATTTTGATCTTCATTCTCAACGTTGAAAAATCACCCCTGGTTCAATATTCAACGTTGAAAAATGAACACCGGGTCAATTTTCAACTGGGGCAATATTTAACGCTACACCGGCATGTAACAAATTTGTGATACATATACATTAGCAAACCTAAAACGTTGAAGTTTGTGTACCATTTTATAGATTAAATTCATATCATATATAATACATTCTTTCCTCAATGACAATTATCCCAAATAATAATCATTTCGCGTAGTTCTGACGCCTTATACTGTACGTTTCGTTTAATTTACAAAGTATCTTCAGGAAACATTTTTAAAAAAAGTATTTATCAATTTTATGTAAGCATGAAAAACTAATTTCTGCCATATAGTAAATATGTTAATGACAGGATTTATTATAGTCACCTTTGTTTCCGGACTTTGTTTTCAATTCCTGCAAATCCTTTTCCACAGAAGATAACTTTTCCATTAGAGATTGGTTATTCTTAAAATCTTCCTTAAGTTTTTCTATGACATTTGTTTCGTACTCCTCTTCTAGGGCCTGACTTTGAATATTATTCAGTCCAGACATGTAGTCTTTGTTTGTGTACGTTTGC